CCCGTCACATCCTGAGCCCACATGCCGCGGGAGAAGCAGCAGGCTAGAGACCACAGCGCTCACCATCTTCCGCGCAGCCTTCTCCCGCCGCCGCTGTTGCTCGGTCTTCTTCTCCGCCGCAGCCAGGCGCGTGGGTGCCGGGGAGGCCTCCACTCCTTCGGCCGGCTCCCCTCCAGCCTCGGGCCCCCTGTCTTGGCCCTCACCTGGCTCCCCCTCCCCGTCTGACTCCTCCAGCAGCCCCTGGCACAGCTCCTGGAACGCAGACTCCTGGGGCGGGGGGGGGGGGGGGGGGGGGTGGGGGGGGGGGGGGGGGGCGCGGGGCGGGCAGGGGCAGGGCAGGGCGGGCAGGTGTGGGCTCACCTGGGTGGCAGGCTGTTCCGAGGCGGGCAGCGCCAGCCGCCTTTCCAGCTTCTCCGCCTCCTTCTGCCGCTGCAGTTCGACCTCGTGGGCCGCCCGCAGCAGGGTCTGGGAGGGGAAGGGGTCAGGGCTGAGCACCCAGGGACTTACAGACAAACCCAGCCTCCCACCACTGTGCCCCAGGCCCTCCTCCCGCGCCAGTTCTCATTGAGGACGGCCCGATCCCTGATCTCTGCACTCGGTAGTTTTGTTCACGCAAGACACAGAACAGGCAAACGTGTAAAGACAGAAACAACAGTGGGGCCACTGAGGGAAGATGGGGCGGGAGGACGGTGCCGGCTGATGGGTGCCAAGCTTCTTTTGAGGGGATAAAAGCATTGTAACATACTGGTGAGGGCCACTCAGGCCACACAACTCTGCAGACGCTAAAACCATTACATCCCACGCAGTGAGTGGGCGAGTCCTAAGGCGTGGGAGCGCTCTCTGTGACACAGCTCAAAGAACAAGAGACATGGACCGACCTTCCCACGTTCTCCCCCCACAGCCAAGCCAGCCCGCGGGGGACGGCGATGGCCTCTGCCTCTGCCTGGCCTCTGCCTCCTCCCGCTCGGCATCGTGGCTCCGGCTTCGCCCACACCGAGTATCGGGCGCAGAAAACTGCTCGCTCTGCTCCGGGCCGGCTAAGGGGCCCATTCGTCATGAACGAGGCGGAAGGGCACTCGCTCGAGCGTCCCGCGTCTGCTCCACGATCTCGATCTGTCTCTGGGAACCTGTGCTCCCCGAGGCCAAAGAATGTCCCCTCTGTTCACGACACCCGCGCTCAACGGACATCACCGATGTACAGTGACTCCCACAGCCAGGTGTCCGCTGCCGACCTAGCCTGGACCTTAGAAAAATCTCACCGGCTCAGACTACTAGCATTTCTTTGAGGTCTTTTGCATCTAAGCCCGTGGACTCCCCGAAAAGTGGCATGGCATGGTCTCATACACCCCCGGGCCTTTGTACACACTGTCTCTGGCACACACCTGAGAACACCCAATCCCCTCGCTCCCCACAGCAAACTCCTCCTCAGAACTCTGGTCTAAGATCTGATATCCCCTTCCTCCAGGAAGCCCTCCCTGACCCCCAAGGCTAGGCTTGGCGACTCCTCTGGGTTCCCTCATCCCAGCCCTCTGGGTCATCACTGTCTGGAAACAGGTCTGTCTCCCCTGCTGGACCGTGAGTCTCAGGAGGGGAAGTGGGGGGTCGCCTCAGTCACTGCCGACTCCCCAGCAGCGGGCGGACACAGGAGCCCAGTGAGGCCAAGCCAACCAGGTGGCCAGGCGACAGCTGAGGAGAGGCTGCATACCTGGTGGTCCTCGAAGGACGGGTTGTAGGAAGCTCCAGCTGGTGTCACCTCCACAGCAGGGACCTGGGAAGGCTTGGTGTGCAGATGCAGCGGCCGCTGGAGGAGGACAAGACTCATGAAGCCTGGCAGCCCCACAACTCGAGACCGCGCATGCTCTGAAGCCGGTTCCCCAGGCGGGGCAGGTGGCAGAGGCCTTGGCAGGGCCCACGGCCTTCCAACTGGGAGGTGCCGGTGGGTCCGGCGTCTAAGACAACGGACACCTGCTACCCAGCTGCCATGCTACCCAAGGGAGCCACAGCCCCAGGACGAGAAAGCTCCCTGCGGGGGGTTAGGGAGGGCCCTGCCTGCCTTTCCTGAGAAAAGTCCCTGTAACCCCTGTTGTGGGCACCACTGGTAAAAACACGGGTAAGGGCACCTTGACTTTAGTCCCCAGTCTGTCACCTGCAGCAGCCTTGGCAGAGGGCGTGAGGTGGTCTCTGTCATTCAGAGCAAAGGACAGTGGACAGAGGGCTGGCAGAAGCCCCTGGTGTGGCCCGGCTCCTGCCGCGGGAGCTTGTGACAAATGCAGAAACCCGGGTCTACCTGGCCCAAATCTGAATCCGATCAAGACCTGTGCCTCAACAAGACCACGGCAGGGATAGGGGGTGGTGGTGGCTGTCCCTCTGGCCTTTGCCCAGAAGCCTGGGGGTAACCCCAGAAGCCCCCGGCCCCCACCCACTCCCCACACCCAACTGCCCACCTGTCGCAGTGCTTCTGCCCCAGGGCGTTGTCTTGGGTCCCCCCCCCCCATCCTGGCACGTCCACCCACCACGATCCTGACTCCTCAGAGCTGTCACTGGGACCCCACTCTTCTACGCAAAATCACTAACAGGAAAACTCCAAAACCCAAGCTCCTTCCCACCAGGCCAGCCTCCTCTGAGCTGTTACTCAGCCCCACCCTTGTACTCCCTAGTTCCCTGCCCGGTGGCCCTGTCCCGGCACAGCCCACGTGGGGAGGACCTGTCGGCACAGGCCCCTTCTCAGGGAAGCTTTACTCATCCCCCAAAGCACCCCACTGACCGCCGGCACGCGGACCTCTCCTCTGGGGGCACCAGCTCGAGGCCTGGCTCCTGCATGCGCGGTCTTGGCCCCTGGCTGAGACGGAGGCTCTAGGGCCCCAGTGCAGCGCCCACCACCTCTGCCCTGCTCTTACCGGTCGCCAAGAACCCCCTGTGCCAGTCTCACCTTCACCCCTTTCTTCTTGGTCTGCTCCAGGAAAAAGGCGTCCTGGCCAGCCAGGGGCCGCTCCAGAGGGTCTGTGGAAGCGATACGGGGTGGCTGCTGGGGGCTTGCCAGTGAGGCCTGAAGGGCTCCCTCCCACCCCTCCTCCCAACAAAGACAGCACCAAAACATGGACTGGACAAGGGAGGGACGGACTCTCAGACCCCAATGGGTTTTGAATGCCAGGCAAAAGAGCATACAGACAGGTCCCAAAGCAGAAGGGAGCCAAGGCTAAGGGGCAGGGGGCAGCCCTCAGGAAAGGGAAGCCCAAGACACTGAACTCTGCTGAGGATCATCGAAGTACCTGCCAACACCTCCCTCAGACCCTGTGCGCTTGTGCAGCAAACAACCTGCAAAACTGTGCATGGCAGCCTTGTCCCCACCCACAAGTAACAGCAGGGGCACTCACTGTCTTTGGCCCAGAGATCATAGAAAGGCCGCTCGACGGTATCTTGGGGCCCGGGCTTGGCTTTGGTAGCAGGAGGGTTGAGAAGCCGGGCCTGTGCCCTGCGCACCTCCCGGGGCAGCTCGCCCTGCTTGGCCAGCTTCTCCCATAGCTGCTCCTTCCGTTTGAGCTTCCTGGCATTGGGGACCTGGTGGGCGAGGACGCTGGGTGGAGGAGAAGTAGCACAGGTGGATAAAGCAGAGGCCTGAGAAATGGCCCAGCTCCTCCCGGTCGGGCTCTGCACCCCCACTACCCAGCAGCTCCTCTCCCAAGCACCCTGTACAAGGTGCACCTCCTCTGCACTCCTCCTGCCTCTCCCACCCAGCCTCAGAGCCCACCCAGCCAGGTCTGTCTCCAGCCTGGGCCTCTCCCCTGACCCGAGAGCCAACAACACGGGGGCCTCTGCAGGTCTCCCAAGAACCTCACACATCATTTCAAAACTGACCTCAGTTGGTCCCCACAGCCGCTCCTCCCATATCCCCATCTCAGGAGTCCACCCCGTCACCCATCCAACCTCCCCTCCCTCATAGCTGTCACTAAGCCAGCCTGCTGGGCCTCCTGATAGCTCCCAGCCATCCCTCCCCTCCACCCCCAAAGCTCCTGGCTGGGCCAAGGCCCTGCACTTTTCTGCCTCAGCCACAACACCCCGGCCCCCACCTCATTTCCTCCAACCCACCCGCAAAGCCCCTGTCCGATACCATCCCTCTCCTCCAAGTGACGCTCACCTGACCTGACCCCCTCCCCCTAGAAGTGAGTGGCGGCTGTTGCACAGGAGGACGAGAGACGAGATGCCAGAGCCCAGCAGGAAAGACGATCTGGGGGTGGGGGTTGGGGGGACACTCACTCTTTGGGGGCAGGGACCTTGGATGTGTTCTCTAGGATGAGGTCAACACGAAGGGGTTTCTTGAGAAGAAGTGATCTTTTCTGGCTTCTGGTCCTCTTGTTCAGCTCTGGGGCTGGGAGAAAGGAGAGCAGTCGAGGGTTCGGGCCTCCTCGCTTCCCAAGAGCAACTTCCCACCCCTGCGTTTCGGCCCCACGGCAGCCATCAGACCTGCATCCCAGGGCAGACGAGGAGGCCCCAGGCTGGCCCCAGGCTTCCACCTGGGGAAAGAGGTGCCCAGAGTGTCCAAGCTCTGCCCAGCCCCCCGCCCCCATCCATTTCCTGGGCCACCTGGAAACAGCCCTGTGCTGGGAACAGAGAGAGGGTCAGACCCACAGCCCTGCCCTCTAAGGGCTTCCAGACAAGGCAGGAAAACCAGGAATGCTAACGACAAAGAAGGCGACCAAGGGACACTGAGGCCCAGGAAGCTGGACTCGGGACCCAAAATGGCTGCTTCTCAACACGATGCTTTTCCACCTTCTTTCACCTGATAGTGAAAAGCAAACTCCAGGACCGAACGCTCTAGGACAGAACCCACGTCCTTCTGTTTCCTAGGCTACGTCCTGAAGACTTCACTTCTCTGCGCTTCCAAATGAGAACCTTACACGCCTAACTCACGGGGTTGCCTGGAAAGGTCATGACTGCAACAGCATGAGGCACCGTGCTCACCTGGGAAAGCCCACAGTCACTATTACCTTTCTTTTTCCTCCCTGTGTCCCCAGGACCTGAAACTGAGAGCCATAAGTCAGTCAGTCACGTGTCCCTGGAGCTGCTATGGCACCGGAATGGAGCCCGTAAGCCACCGCCAGACTAACAGGCCACGAACAGTGCCTCTTTCTTTCTTTTTTAAGCCAAAAACAGAATCTATCAACTGCTTCTCCTCTGCTCCCAAAGAGACTTCATACTCGCCAAAGCAGGCCTTCGGGATTACCCTACCTGTTCCCTGGGGCAGGTCCTGCCTTCCCCTTGCTGTTCCCACTCCCATCGGCTCCCTCCTGTGAAAGGTGACCTCTTCAATCATCACCTCTCACTCGCTAGCTCAGTCTCCTGCACCTCAAAGCAGGTCCTTTTCTGCTCATGGAAACAGACCCTCCCACGTTCGTTGGAATGGACCCCTGGACTGAACCCACACTCGCTCCCTGCTGTTCAAGCAGCTTGCCACTTGCTCAATAAAGAAGACCCTTAGCTTGTTTTCTAGCTCCTGGTTAAAGCGATCGTCTATTTTTGGTCTGTTCTACTCACCCTTGGAAAACCTATTACTCACTCAAACCATCCCTAACTCACCTCTCCTGCAATGTTTCAGCAGGCCCCCCGCCCCGCCTTTCGGCAAATCAAAGAAACCAAATTAAGACCAGCTTCTTACCTACTCGTTACACTAGATCTTATTCGTACTCAAGCATGTCTTACTAAAACAGGTCTCATCCTTTCCAGCTTTTCTGCAAGTTAATGAGAGGTCTGCTCATTTACGTCTGATCTACTCACAGGCAGACCCCTGCTGGCTTCCAGGCGCCAGATGGAGACTCGATGAGAACTGCCAGATTGAAGACTGAGAGCTCGGATACCCCAAAAAGAAAATCTGACTTGTTAGTCTTTCATTCCAGATCCTCTTGTTTATAGTAAAGACCTTTCCTGGCTGACGCCTGCCACCCAAGCCCTGTCAATCATAGAGACTAAGATGGACTATACAGAAGGACCAAGCGGGCACCACCGAAAGCTCTTCCTCACCCTTTTTCTTGGAGCCGGTGTCCACGAAGAAGAGTTTCTCATCCGGGGCCTCTGATATCAAGCCACTGGGAGACGGGAAGGAGAATGTCAGCCAGAGATGTGGAGGCTGCAAGCTGCTAGGGAGGGAGGCTTAACCTCTCAGGGGGCCTGGCTTTCCTCTAGTACTATGCACATTCAAGCACCTTCTTCCAGCCATAGGATTCTACCAGGCTAAGGCCTCTCCCTTAAAATCACAGAACTCAGTACTTAACAGATCACAGCGCTTAAAATATCGTAATATTTAATTCTCAGCATTACACAAAGGTGGGTGGACGGGACGCACTTAGGCTACAATTACTAGTCACTTGCCTGAATTATAATTTAACACTGGGGGTCCTCGATGTGGTAACCCAACCAAGACCCCCAACCTCACCCCAGAGGGCAGAGGTACCCGATACAGACACGCGCAGCACCCCGGATGTCCCCCCAAGCACGCTCGGACTCGCACCCCGCCTCGCCGAACGTTGCCCAGATCCCGGAAGTCCCGCCCCACGCACCCGCTAGTGCGCTCCTGCAGCCGCACGTCCTCCAGGAACTGGTCAACTTCCAGCCCCAGCGGCTCCTGAGCGAGCCGCCGCCAGCCTCGTTTCCTGTTTCTTGGGCCTCGCCGACGCCGCCTCAGCGCCGGGTCCACCGAAGTGGGACGGAAGCCCAGGAAGCCGGAATCGGCCTCGCTTTTCAAGCACGGCGTGCTGCCACGGCCACTGCCTCCCGGCGCCATCTTGGCAAAGGAAGCATTCGGTCGCCGGCGCCCCAAAGCCGGTTTCTGGCCTGCGCGCGCAGATTTCCCGCCCCCTCCCGTGACCTACTTCCGGTAACCGCAATCTGGGTAAAGTGACTGGAGCCGCCAAGGGGCGGGAATAAAGGGTAAATGTCTCCTCCCTCTTATGCAAATTCCCGTGGGCCTCGGGTCGTGGGTTGGCGACTCCAGCCCTGAGCAAACACCTCTCCGCCTAGGAAAATTTTTTAAATCTGCGTATATTTTTAGTCTTTAACTTACTATTTATTATTTTTAATCCAGTTGTCTTAAAAAGGAAAATCAGAGCCGTCCGTGGCGGATTCGGCGAAAGACACGCTCCAGTCTCAGAACGTTTGTGTTTTTAGTGTTCTGATCCTAGAATCTTGGAAATCCAGGAGCTCTCCGAGTGCCGTGTTGGGAGCACAGAATCTCATATGCAAACTGTTAGAAACATACAGGGTTGGCAGTGCAGGCTGGGAATCATGAATCCTGGACAAGCTGCATAGCTGTGCCTCACTTTCCCCATCTGTGAATTAGGGACAATAACGGTCCATCAGCCTTATAAGTTTTTCAGGAGAGGAAACGAAATAATAAACCCACAACAGTGTAATATTGTACCGGGGGGGGGGTGCCTGAGTAGCTCAGTCGGTTAAGTATCTGCCTTCACTGCGGTCATGATCTTGGGGTCCTGGGTTCAAGCCCCAAGTTGGGCTCTCCCTCTCCCTCTAGCTCTGTGCTTTCTCTCTTTTTCTCTCTCAAATAAATAAATAAGTCTTAAAAAAAAGAAAAAAAGAATGTGCCTGGTATCCAAATGTTAGCTATTGTTATTGGCTCGCCCCCTGAGGTTTCATCTTAAAATCAACTAATCTTTGCTGTTTACAAATAAGGAAGGAAGCTTGTACGCCCTTGGGCTCTGGCAACCATTCATAGGGATCCAGGAAGCCCAGAGAGGGAGGGGGCCACGCCGGGAATCGCACAGCGGGATCCTCGCGACCCGCCCTGGAGCCCCCGAGCCGGGACTGAAATCCGGGATTCAGCGCGCAGCCCGTGCAGCTCCCGAGTGCCCGCCAGGGGGCGCTGGGAGCCGCGAAAGCTGGAGATCGCGCGTGGGCGGCAGGAGCGCGAGGTCAGCGTGCCCCGGCCGCGGTGGGTGTGGTCGGGGCGTGGGTCCCGGGCTCAGCCCGCGGTGTCCGCAGGCCAAGGCCCCCTGGAGGGAGCGCGCGTGCGTGCGCGCACATGGTGGTCCCTGTGGACAGCGTCACCTCTCCTCCAGGAGTCAGCCTGTCCCTGGTGTTACGTGTCAGGGGTGGCGTCCCAGGTGGCGCACGCTGGCGGGCCGGGCGGGGGCGGGGGGTGTTCGCGGAGGCACGATGTGCCCGAGCCCGCGCGATCACAACCCCACGCCCCAGGGCTTGGTTCCCAGGCCCCCGCGGCGGGAGGCGGGAGAGAGGGCTGTCCCAGAGGGAGGGCCCCAGAGTAACTTTTCTTCGGAAAATATGTCGGTTTGGCCCCCAGCCCAGGCCTGAGTCATCAGACTCTGCAGCATTGAGTCATGGCCTCCAACCCCCCGCCCCACTCCTGGGACCTTGGAGGGGAGACCCCCCCCCCCCAACCAACCTCAAGCCCTGCCCAGGGCTCTCCTTCCGGGGGAGTCAGGGGGAGAGCGATCCCCGCCCCCCCCCCACCATCCCAAGACAGCGTGACTTCCACGTGGAAAGAAGCCTTGGCTTTATTTGCTCTGTGGGAACGCTGTTCGCTGTTCGGTTCACAGGCCCCTCCTAGGCATGGGGTCGGAGCGGGGCGGGGGGAGGGGCGTGCTGATGGGTGTGGGAATCCCCGAGAGCATCGTGGGGGGGGCATCATCCCCACCTATGTCACCATTCCCCATCATTTCCATGGGGTCCCCCACCAGGGTCAAGCACTAGTATATGGTGAAGGCACCGAAGGGTGGAGGGCAGGACGGGAGGGGTCCCTTTAGGGAGGAGAGGGGAGGGCTGTAGCACCAAGAGCCCCTCCCCCCAACACATGCCCAGAAAGGGACTAAAATAAAGCCCAGGCGCCTTTATATCTGGTGGGGGCTCTACTTAAATACGGGCTGTTGGCAGAAGGAGCTGTGCCTCAGTCTACAATTCAGGCCACCAGCGGTGGGGAGCCTGGGGGAGGGGGCCACCAGGCTGGGTTTTCAAACCAGGGCCGGTGGGCAGAGGCCAAAAATACCTCAAAGTGGGCACACAGTCTGGGCAAAGCAAAGCTCCGAGGGGCTTTTCTGTCTGCTGAGAATCCTTATTAAAGAAGTGGGCAGAGGAGCTGAAGAAGGGTCCCTTTGAGGAAGTAGTGTCTCCCCTCTGAGCCCCCAGGTCCCAAGGCCTGAGAACAGGGGTGGAGTTGGGGGCCAGATGGGCAAGAAGTGGGGAAGGGGGTCTTTGTGTTGGTTATTGCAACCGGATGGCCACTGAACTACGGAGAGAGGTGAGGGGTCCTGCCCAGAATTGGGGCTCAGACTGGTTAGGGCCGGGTGTGTGTCTGTGCGTTTGTGTGACGGTGTGGGAGCTCTCTCCTGAGGATGTCAGCCCCCTGAGGGCGGATGCACGTGTCTGGGTTGCTGTCTGCTGTAAGGCCGGGGGCCCAGAACAATCCCTGCCCATCCAAACGTAGTACGTGCTCAATAAATATTTGAATGAACAATGACTGAATCGACGCCTCTGTGTGTGTGTGTGTGTGCACGCGTGTGCGCGTGTGTTAATGTCCCCGTGATGTGCCTAAGTGTACGTGAGGGTAGGGGGCATGGGCCAGGCAGAGAAGCCTTGCCCCTCCCCTGGTCCCCATGGTCTGGCGGAGGGGAGTGGAGAGAGGCCCAGCCGTACAACTGAGAAGGTGGGCAGGTGGCAAGCGTGCAGGCTGGGGCGGGGATGTGCGTGCAGCCGGCTGGCGCTCGGGGCCACAGCAGGGCAGAGGGAGGGAGGGAGGGCCGCTGGCTCACTCCGCAGAGCCCTTGTGGCGCCGCTTGGAGGGCGGCACGAGGCGGCGGGGCAGGTTGGCGGGCAGCCCGTGGCCCTCGAGCTTGGCCTCGATGAGGTGGCTGGCCAGGGCGAACTCCTCATCATCCAGCATGCCATCCCGGTCGACGTCACTCAGCTTCCAGATGCGGCCCAGCACCGAGTTGGGGAGCTTGGTGCCCACCATCCAGGTCTTGGCCTTGGTGCCACTCAGCTTGCCATCGGCTGGTGCCAGGTTGTAGAAGATCTCATCGTACTTGGATTTGTCCTTGGTCACTACCCACTCGGCCTCGTCGTCCGAGCCCTCCTCGCCGTCCTCCAGGGCCTCATCGGGCCCCCGCTCCACGAATGGGCCCATGTGGGTGCCCTCGAAGGCGCCGCCCTGCACCCCCACCTCGGTGCTCTCCAGCTCTTCCTGCCGCAGCAGTGGCATGAGCTTGGCGATGTCGTGGGTCAGCATCTCATCCAGGGCTTCCAGCAGCTTCGGCTTCAGCGAGTGGAACTTGGTGAAGTCGTGAGCCATCAGCATCTCCTGTTGTGGGGGAGGGGGTAGGAGAGAGGAGCCCTGAGAAGTCAGGGGGCGGCAGAATCCTTGGGCGGCAGGTGTTGATAGAGAGGTGCGAACCCGTACAACCCGCCTGTCCCACTCGGACACCCACCGCTCAGAAGAGACTGGGGCAGCGGGGTCCCAGGGGCCCGCCCCCTGTGCCAGGTGCCCCCAGAATCACTGGACGGTGGGGACATGAGCGGCCCTCTGATGATTTGCCAGCTGGTAGAGAAGGATTTCAATATTCCGATATCAGTCCCAGCCTTTCCTGAGCACAGCCCTGGGTCTAGCTAGCCTCTGTGGCACCTCAGGCTGCAGCTGGCCGGCACCCCCACCCTGGTGCAAATCGAGAAAATTCCATTCCTGCTGTTAGTTCCGTCACCCCACTTCACAGAAACGGGGGAGTGTGGCTTGCTGCCAAGTTTGGAGGTTTAGCCTGGAATGGCCAGATTGTCAGGAACTTGGGGGATACCCTGCCCACAGAAGATGACTTCTTCTAGAGCAGCCATGCGGCTGGATCTGTGGTCATGCTGCTTCTGTCCCATGGTCCCTCTGAGTCGTCTGCACCAGGAGACTCACGGCACAGACAGATCCGTTTCATGGACCACACTGATTCCCAGCACCAAGGCAGAGAAGCCCGCTGATCTGGACATAAAGGGGTAGAGGTTGGGGGGGTCTGGACTCCAGGGCCTGCCTGCCCAGGTCCCAACCCATTTCTGCCACCTAGGAGCTGTGTGTCCTCAGGCAAGTGACATCACCTCTTTGGGCCTCGGTTTCCACACGTATGAAATGGCTCAATAACATGAGCGCTCCCCTCCCTTGAGGGGTAGGAAAGGCTAAATGAATTCATCTGGATAAAGCGTTCCAGAACTGTCAGTGTAATCGTATTAGCTGCTGTTTATCTAGCCCCGTGCTTCCCAACCACAGGAGATGTTGCCCTTCCCCAGTGGACGCTTGGCAAGATCTAGAGACATTTTTGATTGTCAAAATCAAGCTGGGGGACGCTACCAGCACGCAGAAGCCAGGAGGATATGAACATCCCGCAATGCCCGGGACACCCCAGACCACGAACGCTCTGACCCCAAATGTCAGTAGTGCTGAGGCTGAGAACCTTGATCTAGCCCCCCAGCTCGGTGCCACACACGGGTCTCTAGAATTGTCCTTTCTAGAAGAGGAGCTACATGTGGTTATTTAAATTTAACTGAGTTAAACTAAATAAAACCTAATGGGGCTAGCGGCTACCATACTGGAAGTCAGAGTACAGAACATCTCCATCATGGCAGGAAGTACCATTGGACAGCACCATGCTGGAAAGGGTCCTTAGAGAGACTGGACCAGTAGCTTTCCGCCCTTCTCCCTCATCCCTTCTTGCTGGCTGGAAGGCATACAGAACGGCTGGAGTTTTGACAGCCATTCTGTACCATGCAGGGATCTTGGAACTGGAGGCCAGGTATGGGAGGAGAACTGATATAAAAGGGGACACTGTCCCTGGCTCTGGAAAGCACCAAACCAGACCACCTTCTAGGACTTTATGGAGAGAAACAAACTTCCATCCTACTGAAGCCACGGTTCCCTGGGGTTTGTCTTCATTCCCTTGTCCTAACTCACAAAACCGTGCCCTCAGGGAACCATTTGCAGGAGGTGCTTTCCAGAACCTGCCCGGCATCCCTTCTGTTTTCAAGGCCCCACCCTGAAGCCCACAGAAGCTGACCCCTTCCGCCTCCCCCCACACCCCCCACACCTCCCACCCCCGCTCCCGGGGACAACCTCCCACCTGCATCTTCTGACAGTCCGGAAAGTCGCCGGGGGATATGTGATGCTCCAGCTGGATCTTGGCAAAGATGACGGGCAGCTTGAGGATCAGCTGTTTCTTCTTGTTCTCCTTCCCAAACACGGAGGGCATCTCCTTCTTCAGGTAGCTGATGATGTATGCGTGGACCTGCGGGAGGACAGTGTCGTCACCTGGGGCCCCGCACCCAGAGCTCCTGATCCGCGTGGCCCGAAGGGGGGCCTGAAAATGTGCATTCTGACCCTTCCAGGTGAGAAGCTGCTGCAAAGGCAGAAGGGCCCCTTCTCTCCCAGGCAATCCACTCCCCACCCCCCATCTACATACCAGCTGGAGCCTCTGCCTGCCTGGATTGCCTTGTCCACATTACTGGACAGCTCCGTCTTTTGACGCCCAGCAGAATCTGGGCCCGGAACCCATCTGTTTTCACTGCTTCCCGCCTCGGGGGCCAGCAACCCCATGGCCCCTGGCAGCACCGCCTGCCTGGGGAGACACAGCAGGCCCCCCACTGGTCTTCTGGCTTCCCTTGTTCCTACCATGCCTTCTCCAGGTAGCAGCGGCTGCAGAGGTCTTTCTGATTTTTAGGAAACAACACCAGATCATGAGACACACTGCTCCAAAGTCTCCATCGGCTTTTTAACCAAATACAAAATTCCGACCATAGCTGACAAGTCCCTATGGCAGCAATTCTGAAAGCGTGGCCCGGGGAACCCCAGGGATTCCCTCCCCTCCCCAGCCTCTTTCAGGGGTTCACATAGTCAAAACTATTTTAATTACAATCCCAAGGTGCTATGTGTCTTCTGTGCTCCCATTCCTCCTCCCTGGGTGGCGGGGCAGTGGAGTTTTTAAAGGCAACAGGATTCGTGATACTATAACTGACTGAGTGCAGGAACAGATGTGAAAATGCAGAGGTCTTCTCAGAAGCCAGACATTTAAGGGACTTGCAAAAATGTAAAACCGGGCGACCGTCCTCTGTAATTTTATTTTATTTTATTTTTTTTTGGTTTGGAGATAATTTTCATAAAATGTATGGGACTTAGCCCATGTCCTGGGCTTATGGTTATTTAAAAACTGATCTTCTAATATCTACTATCCCTATTAATTAATATAAATTGAACTATCATAACTCATCCATAACATTTATAATCCACTAACTGCTGCTTACTAATAGTTACATGGTTATTGTTGGTTCAGCGATAATACTAGATGAATATTAAACATTTTCTTCAGTTTTAACTTCTGGTATGGCCAATGTAGACAGATTCAACCCATGTACCTATACAGTCTTTGGGGCGCTCAATCATTTTCAGGAGTGTCATTTGCTCCTGTGACTGGAAGTTTTGAGAACTGCTGCCCTCCAGGATTTGGCTCCTAGTGTTTTATCCCATATCCTTCACCCTTCCCTGTGCCCCCATGTCAGCTTCCTCACCTGCCATCTTTGTACCAGCATGCTAATCTTTTTCTTGCCACAGGGCCTTTTCACACGCCACTGTCTGCCTACTACTCTGCTCTGGTTTCCCCAAGCTGGTTCCCTCAGCATCTTTTTGATGTCACCTCCTCACAGAGGCCATCCTATGAGAAGCAGGTGCCCCAACCACCGCCATCCAATTATTTTCTACTGTCACTTCCCTGGCCTCCACGATGTTTATTGCGACCCATCCTTATTTTGCTTATCTGGTGGCTTACTTATTCTGTCTCCTTTCATCAGAATGCGAGCTCCAGGAGGGCTGGGACCTTATCTGTTCCCTCTGTCCCCAGTACCTGGCAAAATATGCACAGAAAGCACTCGAGAAATACTTGTGGAGGGTAGCAATGAACTTGGGAACCTTTGAGCCCCAATCTCCAAAGTTATCAAAAAACAAACAACAAGGGCAGAATCATGAACATTTTTTGAGCAGGAAGCTCAGTAATTAACTGCATACGCTTAAATAAAAATAGACTATATCTGGATAAAGACACAAGAAACTCCTCATGGGGGCTGCCTCCAGGGAAGAGGCCCTGCGAGGCAGTGGGGACGATCAAGGCTGGGAGGGAGCATGTTTAACCCAGCTTAACTGCTTTACCATGAGATGGTCTTAAAGGTTCAATGGAAAACATTCGTTTGAAAGTTCTCTTAATGAATCATAGGTTTAGAATGCTAAAAATTTTGGCGGTCCCTGGCTGGTTCTAAAACCTCATGTCCTCCCAACTCTACCACTCTGCCTCCTCCAGCCACCCTGGGCTCCTCCTTCCAGGCTGTTCTGCCTCAGGGCCTTTGCACTTACTGTTCCCTCTGCCTGGTAGGGCCTCCCCCAGACCTCCACTCTCCCTCCTTCAGGTCTCTACTGGGAGACCCTCCCTGACCTCCTTAAAACAGTCCCTTGCCAATCTCCTTTCCTCTGCTTCATTTTCCTTCCTGATCCTTATCACATACAATACTGTATGATATTATAGATTCATTTGTTTAATACCCACTTCCCCAGTAAAAAGTAATTCTACAAGGAAAAAAAAAAAAAAAACAGCATTAACTCATTTGTTCCCTGCTGTAACTCCAGGGTTCAACAGAGTGCAGAAGCACGTTGTAGGTGCTTGGTAAGTGTTTGTTGAATGAATATCAGGGGGCTGCCTCAGAGAAGCTCGGTAAGAAGGTTCAGGGCATCCTGGCCTCTTTGGAATCAGACCCGCAAGATCTTGGCCTCAAGTATCGCAAAAACAGTGAAATCGCCCCTTCTCGCAGCTATCACTTCAACCAAAGGGCAGAGCCGGGTGACTCATCCACTCCCTATACGTACAGACGGGGAAACCGAGGCACCGAGGGGCAGCTACTCAGAGTCCAGAGCGTCGGGAAGGTAAATGGTGTGAACCATTGCTCGATGGCCACACCAAGTGTGGCGGAATCACACGTGGGGAATGGGTGGGTGACACGGCGCAGCGGAGGGGCATAGGGAGGCTTGGTCATAGTTGGACCCTGTGTGAGGGGCACTGGGGAGCCACAGACGGGTCCGAGGGAGGGAGGGGAAGGAATAGTCCCTAGATGTCAGGGGCCAATGGGGCAGGGGCGTGGTCAGGCTGGTGGGCGGGGCCTGTGAGCGCGGGCCAATTGATGTGAGGGGCGGGGCCTAAAGCGGCTCCTCGGGGACCCAGAAGAGGGAAGGCGGGAGGGCGCTGATGGCTTTTCCAGAGAGGAAGCGGGGGAAGGTGCCAGGAAGAGATAAGGTGGGAGGGCGGGCTGGGCCGGGGCGCGGGTCCCGGACTCCGGGGTTTGTCCGGGTTTCCGGAGCCGCCTCCTGCCCGGCGGGGGCACCAGGTGTCCGGCGCGGCCCCGCCCCTCTGTCCCACGGCCCTGGGCTGTCTGCGTCCCCAAGGGGCCGGGGCCCAGGGGTCCGTGGGGGACCAGGGCGAACCAGAGTAGGGCCTCAGAGAGACACGGAGGAAGACAGAGAGGGAGAGATAAGAAGAGGGGAAGAGACAGAAGGAGAGAGCGAGGAGAGAGGAACAGAGAATGAGGGAAGGGGAGGGGAAGAGCCCGAAAGAGAGAACCAACACGAGGGAAAGAGATGGCCGCTGGGAAAGAGGTAGAAATGAGGAGAAACACACACGGAGAGACAGAGACACAGAGACAGTCCAGAGTCTGGGTGGGGGAGGAGGGAAAGGTGGATTCCGAGGCTCAGAGCGTCCCTGCTGGGCCGCTCCCTCCCAGGGAGGATTCCTGGGGTGGGGGTAGGGGCCCTGACTCACCCCTTCTTTGCTGCTCCTTAAACCAACACCTCGGGCTCCTCCACCCCCCATAGCCTTCTAGGCCTCCCTGCCTGCCCCTGCCCGGTTTCCTGCCCCACCTCCACCCTGGCAGCCTCCCCTGTGAATGTTCCATTTGGCCTCCAAAATCGCTCTCAAACCAGTGCTCTCCTCCCCCTCCCAAAGCCCTGCTCTGGATCCAGGCTCCTCTCTGTTCCTCGGTCCCCAGCCTCCTCCTTGGTCTCTAGCCTCAGTCTAACAGCCCTTAAATTCCTCTACCAGAAGGCAGCCTGAGTGAGACCCTATCCCTCCTGTAATCCGAACCCTTCCATGGCTCCCCAGTACCCTCAGGACAAAACGCAGGTTCCAGGCCACAGACCTGGGTGGTCTGACTCCCACCTCACCGGGCTCAGATTCAGTTACTTGCACTGTCTACACAGGGTTCAACATTGACAATTTCCCTCTTCCTTGAACTGGCCACCCTCTCTCATCTCCGGCCCACACACTTGTTGGTCCCACGGTCTAGAATTCCTTCCCCTCCTCACCCTCCCTTTCCTCCACTTTGCAGCTCAGATGCCATCTCCTCCAAGAAGTCCCCCACCCCAATTCCCCCTGGGCTCCCCAGTACCAGCCCGGCCCATGCTGGGTCATCACTGTCTGGGGATAAGTCTGTCTCCTCCCCTGAATTTCCTTGGTCACTGTTGTGTCCTCAATACCACCTAACACAGGCTGGGCATAGGGGAGGTTTTGTCAAATGAAGAGTGTTGGTTCAACGCCATTCATTCAATACATATTCACTGAGCACAAGCTCTGTTCCAGGTGCTGGGGATACAGCAGCCAACAAATCCTGACATCTGGTTCAGTGGAGCTTTCATGCAAGTGGAGACAGGCAGTAAACCCAGAAGCCCAGTGAATGGGCAATGTCCGGCCCGGCAGCAATGAATGCTATGAAGGAAACTACAACAAGGATAAAGCAAGACTCAGGGGCACCTGGGTGGCTCAGTGGGTTAAAGCCTCTGCCTTCGGCTCAGGTCATGATCTCAGGGTCCTGGGATTGAGCCCCACATCAGGCTCTCTGCTCAGCAGGGAGCCTGCTTCCCCCCCTCTCTCTGCCTGCTTCTCTGCCTACTTGTGATCTCTGTCTGTCAAATAAATAAATAAATAAATCTTTGGGGGAGGGGAAAGAAAGGATAAAGCAAGACTAACATGATGGGAGCCGGGAGGGACTTACAGTCATAAGAAGGGAGGGCAGACAGGGAAACGTTCTGGAGCTTGTTGAGCAAAGACTTGAAGGAGGTGGGGAGCGAGCCAAGTGGGAGGGAGGCAAGGAAGGGGTGGTTTCCAGGAAGCGGGAACAGTTAAGTGCAAAGGCCCTGAGGTAGAATTGACGGGAGGCAGGGCAAGGGCAGTTCCTGCCCCCATGCTCCAGCCTTGCCCCCCCATTCCATACACACATGCACACACACACACACACACACACCCCACCCCATGTGCTGCTCACCCGCACCAGCCGGGCCCTCTTCACCAGGTCGTTGAGCTTGCGCAGGGCAGCGTGACGTGGTAAGCCCTGGATGTCGCGGAAGAGGTCCTGCTCCTCCAGCTCAAAGAGGCGCCGGTTGTCCGGCACCAGGAGGGGCTGGGACCAGAAGGAGCCGATGTAGACACGCAGCACCTCGGGCGTGCCCACCACCTTGCCCAGCGCCCACATGAGCGCCCCGTAGACGCGCATCAGCTGCTGGGTCTCCACCATGTCCGCCTTGTTGAGCACCACGCGGATCTTGTCTTCGTGGCCCCGCAGGGCGCCGATGGCCTCAGAGAACTCGTCGGAGATCTCCAGCTTGTGCGCATCAAAGAGCAGGATGATGAGGTCCACGCGCTCCGCGAACCAGCGCAGCACGGCCGGGAAGTCGTAGCCTGGAGGTACACAGAGGAAGCGGTGGGAAGGGCTGAGGTCAGCCCCGCACCCTCCAGTCTTTCACAAGCATTCATTCCTTTGGATGGACAGTGGACTGTACGGATGTTCAGGTTGTTAACTTTCAAAAACCTTCTCTGGGCAAAACAGCCAAGGCCGCAAGAGTATCCTGCAGCTCTGCACCCGCCCCCACACCCAGGCCCCAGAATTACCCCATCCCTCTGGCCCCAGGCCCTCAGGACATCTGGCTACAGAGGGCCATCACCTGCCCCCTTTTCATTCATTCCTCAGGCAGGTATTAGTGGCGTGCCCCCGTCTGGATGTACGGGTTGTTAAAATACTGAAGTGTTTCTTAATAGACTCCTGGTGCCCCTATGAACCTCCCCCTACCCCGGGGGTCTTCCAAGTGCCTCCATCACCCCAGCCCCTCCCTAAGGCTTCTGGATCTCCCCACAATCCAGCAACTGAAGAGTTCACATTGGCTCTGGTTCCACTCTCGCCAGAGGAGATGGTAAATATTTTGAATTTATTTAATAATATTTACAGAGAGTCTTCTCTGTGCCAGGCGCTATCCTGGGCACCCAGAGATACCACAGAGGACACAGAGACAAGTCCTGGCCTTCATGGAGTATCTGTCTCAAGGGGCTTCATTCATTCATTCATTCATTCGTTCATTCCTTGTTCATTCATTCATTCACACCCTTTGCTTTTGCTGCTCGCTCACGTATTCAGCAAGCGAGGCTTAGGAAAGCAGAGAGGAGCCACGGTGGGCAGAGGGGTGGGGGGGAGGACCTGACTTAGCGGTCAGGAAGTCCTGGGTTTGAATTCCACCTCTGCCCAACCCTCTACTCCCCCCAGCTGTGTGAACTGAAGCAAGTAGGAAACCTCTCTGAACTTGTTTCCTCTTCTGTAAAATGGAGGTCCTAACAGAATGCGACTTGGAGGGCTGTTGTGGAGATTAAATGAATATAAATGAGCTAATATATAATATACCAAAAAAGCTTATCTGTAAAGAGCCTAAAACAGTGCCTGTTTTAAAATGCATGAGCTTGGGGCGCCGGGATGGCTCAGTCGTTAAGCCTCTGCCTTCGGCTCGGGTCATGATGCCAGGATTCTGGGATTGAGCCCTGCATCAGGCTTCCTGCTGAGCAGGGAGCCTGCTTCTCCCTCTCCCACTCCCCCTGCTTCTGTTCCCTCTCTCGCTGTGTCTCTCTCTGTCAAATAAATAAATAAAATCTTTTAAAAAATAAAATAAGTAAGAATAAATAAAATGGGCGAGCTTTAGGCATGTCAGTTTATACCTGAATTAAACTGCTAAAACAGGGGCAGCCTGGGTGGCTCAGTGGGTTAAGCACCCCACTCTTGGCTTCTCGGGTCGTGCTCTCAGGGTCACGGGATCGAGCCCCCCATCGGGCTCTGAGCTCAGTGTGGATCTGCTTGAGATTCTTTCCCTCCCCCTGCTCGCTCCCTCTCGCTCTCTCTAAAAATAAAATAAATAAATAAATAAAATCTATAAAAAAATAAACCCTTAAAACAAGGAAACACAATCTGGGAACTCGGTAAATGCTCAACAAGTTTTAGTTGTGACACATGTGGGACGCAGTGAAGGTCTCCCTTCAGGAACTGTCCCCAGAGCCATCCCGGTCCTGTACTCTCATTCAGCTCAGGCACTGAGGACACAGACCCGTCCCCAGAGTGGTTAGGCCAGGGAGGGGGAGCCCAGAGAGATTTAGGAGCCCAGTGGGGGCACTTGACCCCCCCTTGGGGGGGTCAAGGAGGGCTTCTCAGAACAGGGGACACGGTGGTGACCTGGGGGACAAGGTGCCACCTGGCAGAACAGGAAGCCGCTGCTGACTCCCCTGCCATCACTGCTTCCTCTCCCTGAATCATGGAGTTGGATCTTCAAAACACCCTCGGGAGACAGGCGCTTTTGTGATCCCCATTTTCCAGATGAGGAAACTGAGGCACAGACAGGTTGAGGGACTGACTCAAGACACACGGGTGGGAGGTGCGGAGCAGGAGACTGCATGGGTCCCTATGCTCTACCGAGGAGCGGGAGCTGGGGGCATCCTGCCGGGTGGGAACAGGGTCCTTGTGGCCCCTGGGGACTGGATGGGGTGGGGGAGGGGGAATCTGCTTGCGGGGAGGAAGGGCCAGGGAACCAGGAGCTCCTTCCCTCCCCAGCGTACACACACACACACACACAAGCCAGGATTTGGAAAGTGTGTCTCATGCAAGGCGGGAGGAAGGGAGGGAGGTTGAGTCAGCGCGGGAGCGGGAGACGTGGCAGAGTCCCCGGGGTGCACAGCTACGACACTCACAGGAACACAGTCGACCGCACACCCAGAGCACACTAAGCACACCGAAGTGCTTCACAGATTTGACATTGAACGTGAACCCTCCGTGCCACCTACAAGGCTGATGCTGTTATTACCCCCCATTTACAAACGAGGAGACTGAAACAAGGAGATGAGTGGCTCGCCCAGAGCCCATGGTTTAAAAATAGCAGGGCCCAGATTTGAACCCCGCTAGAGACCCCCCCTTTGCTACAATCACACACAGAGAGGCAGCCAGCCACGCCTCCCACCAATGCACACAAACCTGTGCACACATCCCAACACAATCACAGCCACAGGCTCCAAGATGTGGACTCCCATACATACCCTTGTGCTCTCTCCAACCTCCCACACACTTGCACACAGACAGACCAACAGACTCTCCTCCTCTTCCTCTACCCAACCTGCCAGGGAAAGAGAGCCCGTTCCTTTCTTTCTTCTCTTCCCACAACCTTGGGCCCCTACCCGGCTTGCCTCACTGCTCTCCCCTCCCGCTCTCACAGGCCCAGCTCCAAGGTGGCGCCCCAGGAACTCCCGGCCCCTCCCTCCTGTCTTCCCCCTCGGACTGGCCGCTCGCCCTCCCATTGCTTCTGCAGCTGCCCCCTGCTTGTCTCCCAGGGGGACCCGCGCCCGCTGGGCAGCGGCCAGGGACACCATCACCCTCTGAGCTCCCGCCCTGCCCGGTGGCCCAGCCTCCTGTCCCCTCTGCCCCACAAGGCAGACTCCTTTGCCCCAGTCCCACGCTGGCCAGGCAGACACTGCAGGGTGGCTGGTGGGGGGGCGGGGCGGGGTGCAGATGCTGAGCGGGCTATGCAGGGTGGGGGCCGGCTCCCCGGAGGCCCCGCTGGAATTCACCCTTGGCCGCTCCCCCTGCACAGCTGTTTATAAATTCCAGGCCCGGTCTTGGCCTGCGCCCAGGTTCCCCCTCCCAAGCCCTGCTCAGCCCCATCTGCGGCCCAGAGGTGAAGCCAGGAACATGCCCAGAGCCCAGGGCCTCCGTGCTCGGCCTCTGCCTCCTCCCTGGGTCTCCTGGATCTCTCTAAGGGCTGCCCACACTTGGGATCTCTCTCTGACTTCGCGTGTCTCTCTTGATCTCTCCCTGCCTCATCCTCCAGACCAGCCCAGACACGGAGCTGAGGCCTGCTCACACGTGTGCAAGCCCATGCCTCCCCTGTCCCCTTGGCATGCACGGACACGGAGCAGCACAGCCTTCCACGGGCTCCCTTCTGCCACCCAGCCGGCTCTGCGCCAGCTGACGGAGGCCCATGTCCGAGCAGAGAGCCAGCCGCCACCTCCCTCAGACCCAGGAGTCCGGGCCCACTCACCCCGGCTCACTCTCTGTTTGGCGCCCGACAGGATGCCCGGGGTGTCGATGATACTGATGCTCTCCAGGACCTGATTGGGGAGCTGGGCGCACATGAACCTGAGGCAGAGGGAGAGCCGCGGGTCAATGCAGGGAGAGGCAGAGGAGGACCCATAAGAAGGGAAAACCAGGATGGCACAGTGGGGGACTCAGTTACAGAGAAGGGAAGAATCTCTAAAGATCGGGACAGAGAATAAGAACCATAACCGAAATAAATAAATAAATAAGTTAATTTATTACTCAGAGCTAATGTTTACCGAGCACTTATTCTATGCCTTGTGCTGTGCTAATAAGCACCTCATACGGAAGTGAGGACTATGGTTATCCCCATTTTCCAGTTGAGGATAAGAGAGGCACAGAGACATGAAGTCACCTGCCCAAGGCCGCCCAGGTAGAGGGCAGGTGGACTGGGGCAGGCTGGCCCCACAGGCTTCACTGCTCCCCTGGAGGAGGCAGGAAGGGGGAGGAGAGGAGGGAATTGGAGCGGGAAAGAAAGAAACAAAGGCAGGGGTGGGGGGGCAGAGGCAGGGAGATGCACCCCTGCTTCTCAAGCTGCACACCTGTTGAGGAAGGTGTTCCCGAAAGGGTTGAGCTTGCGGAAGGGCTTGTCCGGGTCAACCACAAGGGCGTTCCCCGGCACGGTGCCCTCGGTGTCCCCGTGCATGACCGCCACGAAGCAGTCGGTGGTGGGCTCGGGCCCCACGCGGGAGCCTGGCACCTCCTGCTCCAGCAGGTACTGGATGAAGCTGGTCTTGCCCGTGCTGTACTGGCCGGCCACCAGGACCATGGGCTTGCCGTCGAAATCGGCGTCCTCTAGGGCCGGCGAGTGGAAGGCGCCGAATCGGTAGTGCTCCTCCAGGGGCAGCAGCTTGGTGCGGTAGAGCTCCTTGAGGGACGAGGTCACTGTGCGGATGGCCTCGGGCTGCTGGCCCCGGGCACCGCCCCGCTTCATCCAGCTGAACATGGTGGCTCCACGCTCCCCACTGGGCTCGCTGATGGAGATGGGCGCAGGTTGGGGGAGATCTGCCTGCAAGAGGGACACAGGGTGTTGTTGGGGGCCTGCCTCACAGACGAGGAGGAGGAGAAGGAAGGGAGCCGGAAGGTGGGATGGGTGGAGGAGGATGGGAGAACTGGCTGGGGGTGGGGGTGGGGGCAGCAGAGAGCACGGGAGGGCAGGAGGTGAGGGTTCCCGGAGGAAGACGGTGATTATTTCAGGAAGAGAAAGAGATGAACGGTGGGATGATGGAAGAAGCAAGACTGATGGTGGGAGACCAAGGGATGATGAGCACCAGGTGCGGACACAGTAAACTGACCACGGATCAGCAAACTCTGGCCGAGCTGACTTTTGAACAGCTCCCTTCCATGCACAGCAAGGATCCCGTGCAGACGGGCAGAGAGGATGGTGTGTGCCAAGGCCCCGAGCTGTGAAAGGCATGGAGCAGGTTGCGGGACACAGGAGGGGTGAGAAATAAGGCTGAAGGGTTGGCTGAGTGCACCCAGGTCATGAGGGGCCTCAGTTGATCCCAAGAATATGAAGATTTCTGATCACCGCATGCCAGATGCTGCTCTAACTCATTTAATCTTCCTAACAATGTGGTAAGGTAGGGCTATTATTATCCCCATGTTTCTGATGCACAAAGGGGGCTCACAAAGATAGCAGTAACTTGCCCAAGATCACTTGGTTAGAAAACGCTCAGTCTGGGACACCAGGCAACCTGACCTCAGAACATGTACTCCTATCATAGGTCTGTGTTAGAAAGAGAGAATTACCAACTCAGCAGCAACAAGCACCCCCACCCAGACTGTGTTTTCAATATTCCCTTACTATCTTTTCATTCTCTGTAGGATCTGTAGTGATGTCCCCTCTTTCATTCCTGAAATCAGTCATTTGTGTCTTTTTCTTTCTTTTTTTTTTTTTTCTTCCTTCATCAGTCTAAGTAGATGCTTATAATTTACTGATCTTTCACAGAACCAGGCTTTGGTCAGATTGGAGTCTCCAAATACCATTTTCCATTAAACAAACAAACAAAAACTGAACTTCTTGTAGAAATGACTGATTCCAAGGCTGGAGCAGGAGAACAAATGAGCCTGATCAGGTAGTGGGAAGGTGGGCAAAGATGTAAGGGACATGCTACTGGGAAATAGGGACCAGCCTAAAGGAGCTCCCACTGGCCAAAGATGGGACGATTTGAGCATCAAAATTAACTGCATATCAAAAATGTTAAGATCCATAAAATCACAATGATACTTAAAGGAAAATAAATGTATAGAGAGGAAAAGGGGTAGAGGGGAAAGAGTGTCAGAGAGGTAAAGGAGAGGCGGGAGCTGGGAACTGGGATGTTGGCAGAGAGGGGCGGGCCTGGGTGGTGTCCTGGGGAGGGAGGGGTCTGAGGGACATTTTAGAGGTAGCTGGACAGGCCGTTGCGTTGGTGAAGTAGCAGAGGAGCTCTTGAGTGGGAGGAGGGGCCAAATAGGACAGAGATGGGTGAGGTCAGTAGAGGGAGACTCCAAGGAGGGGATCTCTTCTGGCTGAGAGGATGGGGAGGTGACTTGGGAGTGGGGGCAACTGAGCACGAGGGGAAGGAACAGGGATGTCGGGGGCACTGTCACAGGCTGGAAGGAGCTGGAGGCAGACAAGGAGATTTCACGGAGCGGGGTGCTGGGGACACCGCTACACATTGCGTGGGGGTGGGGACTGAGAGTCTTGGGGGCGGCAGGGTAATAATCAGACTTCTAGGCTCCGCGGACCGGGCGGGCTTTGGGAGGCTACAGTGGCGGTCGGGGACCACTCACCGATGGGCGCGCAGGCGGCTGCACCGGGCGGCGGGCTGGACGGGGGTCCCGCGGGGATCCGAGGCGCCCGCGGAGCGGCCTGTGCTCCAGGTCCTGTCCCGAGCCGTCTGAGCCGGGTGGGGCCCAGAGCGGGGAGGAGGGAAGGGAGGGGCGGGGGGGCGGGACCAGGCGCCCCCCCTCCCTAAACCGGGAACCTGGCCTCTGGCGCCCCCTCGTGGACAGTGGCAGGGCGGCTTCTCGAGATGGGTGAGAGCGGGGCTTTCAATCCCGGTTCAAAATCCCGATCTCTGCCGCTCCTCTTAACCTGGGAATGCTAATATTAATACTACGACTAACAACCACAGCAGCAGCAGCAGCAGCAGCAGCAGCAATAATAATAATAATTTTAAAACTTACCTGACTTCATGAAATTCCTCTTCTCACAACCCATCCTGGCTTCTCTTTTGAGAACTCAAAGTAAAAGCCAAAGCCCTCAATGGGGCCTACAAGGCCCTACGCGCATCCGCCTGTTCCCTCGGCCCTCACCTCCCTCCTTTTCCCCGTGGCTCACTCTGCTCTAACCACACTGGCTTCTTTGCTGCTCCTCAAGCACTCCAACAGCCCTCCGACCTCAGGGCCTTTGCACCTGATGTTCCTGCCACCTAAACGGCTCTTCCCCCAGGGATGCGAACAGCTCACTCCCTCTCCTCATTCGTGTCTGCTCAAATGTCACCTCTTCACAGAATCCCTCCCTGATCTCTCTATTTAAGGCTGCCCCCCCACATCCAACCATCCATTTTCACTGTTTTATTTTTCTCCAAAGATCGGATTATTCCATATTTCTCTGCCTAAGTGACTATCTCCCTAGCAAGAGCACAAGCCCTCCGAGGACTGGGATTTCCAACTGGGTGGTTTTCTGCCATGTCCCCAGGCTAGCACCGTGCCAGACACACCAAAAGGACTCAGTAAATATTTGTTGATTTAATCTTTCACGATCACTGAATGCCTCCTTACATGCAGATTTATTAGTTAAGAGCATTAGCTCATTGAGTTCTTAGAATGTCCCTGAGAAGTGGCAATCGCTATCCCCATTTTACAGATGAGATAAATGAGTCCCAGAGAAGTGAAATGAAAAAGCACAGAGAGATCATTCAGGGCTTAGAGCCACACCTGGCCCCTAGCAGATGCTTAAAAAATATCAGGTTTTATAATCCAGGTCTGGAGCTGAGTTTTCTCTCTCAGCATGGGAGTCAGAGCATACAAAGCCTTGAGTCAAATCCCAGCCTTGCTACTTGCTTGCAAGAGAACCTCAGGGAAGAGATCTTGCCTCTCTGAGCCTCAGTTTCCCCATCTGTCTTGCTACACAGGACCATTTCCTTTGGGTCTTTGTTCAGATGGTGCCTCCTTTGTGAGTCCTACCCTGACCCCTCCAACACCCCCCATCACCCCAGTTCCTACTTCTTTTTCCTTCCTAGCACTTAGCACCATCAGCAGAAGAGAGATGTTTCTTATTTTTACTTCTTTCTGAGATTTTATTTTCGTGTATTTATTTTCAGTGTGACTTATTTTGAATCTTTCCCTGCAGGAATGTCGGCTTCTCACAGGCAGTGGCTTGGGTCTGTTTTGTTTACTTTTGTCACCCCAGTGCCTAGAGCAGGGCCCAGCACCCAGCAGGCACTCAGTTAAATATTAATTGGCTGAATTCAATAAGGTACATAATGGGGAGGGGGGCGCCTGGGTGGCTCAGTTGGTTAAGCATCTGTCTTCCTGGCTCAGTTCGTGATCTCAGGGTCCTGGGATCGAGCCCCCGCATCAGGCTCCCTGCTCAGCCCAGAGCCTGCTTCTCCCTCTCCCTCTGCCTGCCACTCCCCCTGCTTGTGCTCTCTCTCTCTGTGTCAAATAAATAAATAAAATCTTTTTTAAAAAGGAGTCAACTGTATTCCATAAAGAGGCATATGAATATAATACATTTTATACATAATTATAATATATAATTACAATGCATGATCACATATTATGCATAACAGAATATATATTATAAATATTTAATAACAGGCCTGAGTATAGTGGTGACTAACGTTATTACAGCCAAGAGCAAGGTCCTCTTCTAGAATCTTCACATGGGGCGCCTCCCTTCCCCCTCAGAGGCAACCCCTCAGTTGAGTTTCGGGAGGGTCCGTGAACTTGGACATGGAGAGAAAAATGACATCTGGATCCTTCGCTGAGATTTCACAGTTTCCATCAACCATGAACAAAACAAAGCACAATGACATCAGCGGGACTTGTGTCACTGCCATGGCGGGGAATGTGGCAGTTTTCACCACATCGTGGTAATTTTGGAGATTTCCAATGATTGTTTACTCGCCGCTGATGACACCACCACTAGCTCTTTCTAATTAGTGTCTTGACGCAAGAGCTCTTATTACCATGTCACAGATTCATGGTGGGGGGAGCAGGGGCTTTAAATACACTGACAGCTGGATTTCAGGATAATCGGTCCCCTTGTCATCTGCCCTGCCTCCTTTTATTTTTATTTTTATCAATATTTTATTTATTTATTTGAGAGAGAGAGAGAGAGAGCCCATGAGTGAGAGGGGGGAGGGGCAGAGGGAGGGGAAGAAGCAGACTCCCCGCGGATGGGGGAACCCGATGCGGGCTCAACCCCAGGACCCTGAGATCATGACCTGAGCCCAGGGCAGAGGCTTAAAGGACTGAGCCACCCACGCACCCAGGACGATCCTGCCTCATTAAACAGGCTTTGAGCTACTGTCTTGTGTCCCTGGGTCACTGATCTCTGAATCAGGAAGTCTCCGTGTGACAAGTCTCCCTGTGCTCTTATAGCCTCTGGAGCCCTCTTTCCAAGGCACAAGCTCACGGTTTTGTGGGTTTTTCCCCCCAGCTCTCTCCCTCTTCAGCTGTCAAAACCTGGTGGAGAAATTCTGGCACATTCTACAACATGAAACCTTGGGGACATCGTGCCAAGTGGAATAAGCCAGTCACAAAAGAACAGATACTGTCTGATCCCACTGGGGATGTGCTGAGAGCGTCAGAGCCATTAGGCCCGGATGCAGAATGGTGATGGGCAGGGCTCGAGGAGAGAGAGATGGGGTGTGTGGGGTTAGAGTTTCAAGTTCCGAGGATAGCCAGTGGTGGTGTTTGCACAACATGAAGGGAGCTACTTAATGCCACTGGGCAGTATACTCAGAAATGGTTAAAGTGGTCAATTTTATGTCGTGTGTTTTCTCCCACAATCAAAGAAAAAAAAAAAATAGATGGAGCAAGTGGCCAGCCAGAAGTTAGGGATGAACTTTGGATGCTGTCAGTCTAGGGTTCCAATCCTGCTCTGTGCCCAGGTCTCTTTTTTCCCCAGATGCCTCAGCTAGAGAAAAGGGGACGCCATACGCACCCATCCAGCTGCTTCTGGGATCTGGGAGCAAGGGTCTATGAAGTTTGGTGTCCAGTTTGGTCTCCAGTGAGGGGTGACCGGGGGTGTGGGGGGGGTGGGAGGTGGGGTGGTTCTGGCTCCCTCACCGCCCTCTCAGAAAGGCCTTGTTCTTGCCCCCCCCCCCCCCCCCCCCCCCCCCCCCCCC